TTTTTCTGGTATCAGGAATAGAACTCAGGACCTTACACTTGCCAGGCAGGTGATTGTGCCGCTGAGATGTATCCCCAGCCCCCACCTCCACTTTAAAACTTCAATTATGACTATTTTAATCTTATTCAATAAAAAATGATCTATTGTCTTGCAGCTTGCTTTAAGTATAATGATGTGACATATTTGTAGGACATTTATACAACAATAATTTATTTTCTTTTGGATTATGTGCATATAGTAAAATTAGCTACTGACTTTATTCAGAGTATTAAGTATTTTAGGAGTAGCAAAGTTAAAAGACTTGATAATTAGCCCCTTAAAAATGTATAGTGGTAAGCCAGGCATGGTGGCACACACCTGTAACCCCAGCACTTTGGGAGGCCGAGGCAGGAAGATCAAAAGTTTGAGCCCAGCTTGGGCAACTCAGTGAGATCCTATCTCCAAATACAAAATAAAAAACAGAGTTGGGGATATAGCTTAGTGTAGAGGCCTTGGGTTCAATCCTTACCAAAACGAAGAGAAAAATATGTACTGCCTTTGGGTAAGATTTTAAGAGTGTGTTTGTATATTGTTAGATTGGGTATTTGTATATTGTATATTGGGTAAGATTTTAAGAGTGTGTTTGTATATTGTTAGAAATCTCTGGACCCGTCAGGTAAAGTTCTCTCTGTGAATGTATGACTGTTGTTATATACCTTTATTATACTTTTAGTATTGTATATAATTGTTTATATTTTCAATGTTCCTTCAAGAACATGCTTCTTCAACAGAGGTGGGAGGACTATGCTTTCTACATCCTACTGTCTATGGAACTTAACAACAGTACCTGGGATATTTGTAGATGCTTGCTGAATATTTACTCAAGGAATGAAGGGACACGATGACAACATACATTTGTTTGCCTCCTTGAAATTTAGTGGGGTTAGTGATAAAAATTTTGTGGAAGATGTAGATTTTGAGACGAATGAAAAGAAGTGTAGCACTCACTAGAGAAACGGCATACCTGCAGATGCGCAGAGGAGTTGGGTTAGTAGGTGATCTGTGTCTTTAGCAGTAAGCACATAGTTTGGTTAGTGTGTGGAGGTTCTGTAAGGAAGGGATTATTGAAAACAAAACAGAGATTTAGGAGCTGTGGGTCATTTTGGTAGAAATCAGATTGGTGTAATAAACATCTTTGAAAGAAGGCATGACTTCAAACTTAGCAGAGTATATTTGTGTTAGCAGCAAAGAAAGTGAGCTACTTAGTGTCAACCAAGTTTATTTGCTACACATTTTCTGATTTCTTTTCCTGGTACATAATAAAGCGCATCAAGCTGTTTATAAAGGAATGCTGGGAGAGGCATTCGGTGTACCCGGGACTTGATCTGATCGTCACTTATTTTATGTTTCATTTTGTTCCTTCAGTCTTTCATCCTGTTCGGCATTTCATGTTTTTGAGCCTTCTTCTCACCTCCCTTTTTTTTCTTATTCTTTGCTTCTTCATTTCTGTTCTCTTCTCCTCTGGAGTTCCATCCTGTTTTCCTGAACAGAGAAGGCAAAGATTGCTGGATGTGTGATGTTAGGCAACTTGTTTAAACTCTGAGCCTGAATTTGAAGGAGAGATATAAATTATATCCTCTGAGTCGTTGGTTGGCTTCTATGTTAGTTTGGGGGATTTTTTGCAAGGGAGAACAATATAATACAGGGCACATATTTTATAAGATTGTTTATAATAGTCACCCAAAGAATGATATACAAAAGAGTGCAGTAAATCTGGCCACACACTGTAGACCAAGAATCTAGCTGAGGGCCCGGATCCTGTAATAATGTCCTGCATGAGTCCAGTTTTAAGACCTAGAGCTCATAACAATGCCTCCCACGAGTCCAACTGGAGGCCCAGAGCCTATAACAATATTTCATGCAGGCCTGTTTGATGGATCTGCGCTATGAAGGCCCAAAGGTCAGTGGTGGAATCTAGGAAGTCTGTGCCAGTGGGATGAAGGATCTGTGCTAGCAGGCTGAGGGATCTATACTGGAGCCAGTAAGCAATGCTCAAAGTAAGAACCAGAGCTCCCCCAGAAGGTACCACAGCCATCTTCAGCAACAGTGAGGTCCCGAGCTCCTCCAGTGGTGAAGACTGCTGAGTTCCCATCAGGGAAGCCAACGCAGCAAGCTTCTCCAAGAGACTGGCAGTGCACCTTCTTCCCCTCTGGAGCCAGGAAGCGATGCTGAGTGAGGACCAGAGCTCCCCCAAAGTGAACCGCAGCCATTCTCAGTGCCAGCGAGGTCCTGAGCTGCTTGGAGGATGAAAACAGCCAAGTTCATCAGGAAATCCAGCATGACGAGCTCCTCCAAAAGAATCAACAGTTCCTTACAGCTTCTACCCGCTCCCAACAGCCTTCCTCTGCTCCCAACAGCCTCACTTCTCCTTCTCCAGGTCTGCCTCTTACGCTGCTGGCAACAGTCCCCAGGTGGGCCTCCCACACCCAGCACCACGCCTACTCAGTTCAGCTGGGGGTTATAAGTTGCTACCAGTTGTCATCCACTACAGCTTCCCTGACAATATCTGGAGCACTTGTTGCGCTGTGGACGCCCTGTGCTCTGGCCCCGTCCTCTGCTGTGATTCCTGTGTGGGTAGTCTGGCCTCACAGCTGGGAGGGGCCACGGGCCTGGCCCTGCTGGCAGACAAGAATGTCCTTTTGTTAGCTCATGCTATAGAAAACCAGACTTTTACACCTTTTCAGCTGCTTCTTTATTAGAAATGTTACTTTGCATCCATAAATCCTGCTTTTCTTTAAAACAAAACAAAACAAAACAAAAGCTGACGTCCCCTACTGTCTTTTTTCTCATCCTTAAAACTGTAAGCTTATCCTTTTCTGGTATAGAACCTGACGTCCTTTTGTCCACCATGTTATGTTTATTCATCTCTAATTGGACGTAAGACCTTCTGAGGAATAGGACCATGTTTTGTTGATCTTTGCACCAGATGTGGAAGGTAGTGATATGAACTGTGTGTAGCAGGCATCCTATGCTTTGCAGAATGAGCGAACATGAGTTCATGTTAATTTGTCATGATACTTTGCTGATGTGGAATATCAGGGTTAAGATTAATGCAAAAATTATTGTGACTTTTTATAAGTAGTGAAGTCATGGTTTTCACAGTGTATGTTTTGAGCGCTAGAATGGAGATGTCTTGTGTTTATTTTGCTCATGGATAAACTAAGAGAGCCAGGTACATCATTTGGCAGCTAGAGCAGGGGGATGTGAGGTGGGGAGGCTGTGCTTTGCCTTCCCGAAATCCAGAGCAGCTCTGTTCTAATCTGCTTTACATATCTGGCTACCTTGTAGTTTGAATTTTAAGTTTGAATCAAGAGTTGTGATTATAAAATATTTGAAAACTACTCCAGTAGAGCACCATACTGAGAAGGGTAACAGGACAGAAAAAGTGATTGTGTTGTCGTATGTTGAGTGAGTTGTCCATATAGTGAAGGGTTGATCTGTTGTAAATGATGCAAGGAAGTGAATTTTCCTCTTTGGCCCGCTTCCCATTTATCACTCTTGTCATGTCTGTATAGTTTTCTTAGAATGTCAAATATTACAAAGAGAATGAAACTTTAATCTGTAGAACCAGTAGCGTCTTTAGGTGGAGAGCGCTTTTGGGTTTCAGAAAAGTTACATGTGTTTGTATTCATCTGTGCATTTATTTGTTGTTTTTTAAAAATTTTATTTTCTGTTTTTTATTTGTGTTTCTTTTTTTCAGTTTCAGGTGTGTCCCAAGAGTCTCTGTGTATCTACTCCTGGACATCGCACTGATCTATTTAAGAGGGACCCTAAAAACGTCCTGATAACAGATTTCTTTGGAAGTGTGCGCAAAGTGGAAATTACGACAGAGACTGTTAGTTTGCAGCAGGATTCAGAAACCACGGATGGCAGGTATTCACATGGAATTATGATTTGAATAGAATATTATAGTCTCACAAGTTTCCGATTTTTATGAAACATTATATGAACCCATGAAAGTTGGTGTTGGTAAGTAGTTTAACATTTTTACTCAATTTTCATTTTACGTAGTCTCTCTGCTTTTCAGATTTTTGGATGAAAGCTATAAATATTAGTGAGAAGCTAAGATCAGACTAGGACTGTGTCGGCATCCCACAGTACAGGGTTGGCAGTTGCGCTCTTGACACTTGCTAAGAAGGCCTAAAGCTTTGCCCATAGCTTTTATTTTGGGGCTCTTGGTAATGCATCAGGGAAAAGCAGAGAGAGGTAAAGCCAGGTTCTCCCTTCTTCAAGAGGACTGTTACATGTGAGTGGTGAATATGCCTACATGTTTGTGTGAGAGAATTAGAATAATCTGTGTAAGTTTTAGAAAGAAAGTGTTCTGTTTTTTGTCGTGTAATTATTTTTAAAGGAAGTATACATCATTAATGATTCAGTTGATGGCCAGTTTCTTCAAATGTGGAACAATGTATTTTGCTAGCCGTCCAACTTCATTGTCTGGCTTTGGTTAATGCCATTGAGAACTCACATTCCAGGGAACTTTCCTGAATTACCAAACGGCAACATACAAATTCTTCAGTTTTGAAAATTTCAGATGTTTCTAATTGAGCTTCTGACTGATAGGAGTGAATCCAAAGAAAAAAGCACAAAATATTTATGAAGATTTAAAATTAATATTAATTATTTCTGTTCTGAATATGAAAAGGCTTAGTTTTTTTCTTTTCTAGTTATTTCTGTTGTGATTGGAAGATTTAGGGTTTTCCCCCCAATTTCCGGTAGCTGCTGGCTTAAAAAGAGTTTTAGGCCAGCAGTTAAAATGCTACAGCAGTATTACTTTTATTTCTTATTTAAATAGCAGCTTTCAAATTATCTTTGTAAAAATGGCTAAGCCTTACTTTAATATGGTTCATTTCATGTCTTTTACCAAAGTCATTTCACAATTTCTCTTGAACTTAAGCCTCTGAGTGGTAATATTAACCTTCTCTTAACCGTCTAAGCATTGAATTTCCTTTAGAGGCAAGGTCCATGTTTATACTTATGTGCCTATTTTCTATTCTCAACATACAACATAAAATATATAGTAATTGAATAATAAAAATTATTTCTACTAAGTTTTACTATGTCTTCTTGAAGAATGGAATTTTGCTTTCAATTATTTCTGTATATTAGTCTGAAAGCAAAAATTGTTAGTGCTGAAAATTGTCTTAATTTTCTTTGAGGGGAGAATTATTTTAAGTTTAAAAGCCAAAAACTTTATTTTATTCTAAGTTTTTATGTACTGTTAAATTAGAGCGCCCTCTAGTGTTTGTAAGTGCATTTTATTTTGGAAGTTGCTGTTTACCAGACGGTTACATAGTTAGTAGTGTAAGCCTGGTGTGGTGGCCTGCACCTGTTGTCCCAGCTGCTTCAGAGGTTCAAGCAGGAGGTTCACTTGAGCCCAGGAGTTAGGAGCCAGCCTGGGCAGTGTGGTCAGACTCCCACCTGTTTAAAAAAATTGTTGGTGTACTTTATTCAAGGTAACTTATGAGAGTTAAGTTTCCATTGTGCTCCAGGATTTTCTTTCATGTAGATGCTACAAATATTGCCACAATGTTTGTGGTACTATTTACATGCAGCTATGAATTGCAATTGGAAGTTACTGAGAGAAAAGCATATTCAACAAAGATCAGATAGTATACATAGCAAAACCCCCCATATTTTATTAAGAAAATCATAGCTTTAAAAAAAAAAGAAATTATAGATGAGAATATATTTGTGTATGTTTTTTTCATACCTTAGGTCAAACTATCAATACAGGGTTATTAAAATTGATAGTTTTGTTTCAAAAATATTACTTTCTGTATGTTAAGGAAATAATGCAATTTTCATTCCAATTGATCTTAAAATATTTTATGTAGTGGTCTAGTATATAGCTATAGTCAGAGCTGATGGAGAACTTTGGTACATAAAACTGACTGGGGTAGCTATATGATATAATAATTGTTTTTGTATGTTTTTGTAAATGTGGATGTATTAAGCAAGGTAAAGTTATAATGCTACAATGAATGTGGGAGTTCAGATACCTTTTTGACCCACTTGTTTCATTTTCTTTGGACATTTAACCCAGAAATGAGATTGCTGATTTACGTGGTATCTCTGTTTTTAAGTTGTTGAAGAACTTCCATACGTTTTCTCTAATGGTTGTGCTAATTTATATTCCCATCCTCACTGTGCAAGCATTTCCTGTTTGCTACATTCTGGCCAAGACAATACTTGCTATCATTTGTCTTTTTGAAAATAATCATTCTAACAGGTGTGCAGTAATATCTCATTGTGGTTTTGATTTGTATTACCCTGATGATTATGATGTTGAGCATTTTTTCACATACCTGTTGACCACTATGTGTCATTTTTTGAGAAATGTCTACTCAGATCCTTTACTTGTTTTTAACTGGGTTATATTTTTACTGTTTTGCAAATATTTTCTTCCATTCTGTAGGTTGTCTTTTCACTCTGTTGTTTCCTTTATGTGCAAAAGGTTTTTAGTGGGATGCAACTCTCAGTACCTGTTTTTGGTTTTGTTGCCTGTGCTTTTGTGGTCATATCCAAGAAATCATTCCTGAGATCATTGTCAAGAAGATTTTTCACTATATTTTCTTTTGGTAAAGATTTTGGATTTAGGTTTTACCCACAATCTCTTTCAAGTTAATTTTTGTATTTGGAGTGAAGTTATAGTTCAGTTTCATTCTACATGTGGATATCCAGTTTTCCCACTACCACTTATTGAAGAATGTCTTTTCTCTTGACACTTTTGTTGAAAATCACCTACACGCTAGGTGATGTAATGGTATTATTTTGGGGATATCTGTTCTTCTGCATTGGTCTGTGTGTTTCTGCCAGTACCATGCTATTTTGAGTATAATAGCTTTGTTGTGTATTTTGAAATCAGGCAGTGTAATGCAGCTTGGTTCTTTTGCCTTACATTGCCTTGGTTATTTGGGGTCTTTTGTGGTCGCATGCAAATTTTAGGATTGGTTTTTCTATTTCTATGAAAAATGAAATTAAAATTGATAGTGATTATCCTGGATCTGGAGATTGCTTTGGTAGTATAAACATTTTAATATTCTTTAAATCCATGAACATTGGATGTTTTTCCATCTGTGTGTGTCTTGTTCAATTTTTTCATCAATATTTTATAGTTTTCAGTGTATAGAGTTTTTACTCTTTTGGTTAAATTTATTCCTAAGTATTTTATTTATTTTTGATACTGTTGTAAGCAGGATTGTTTTCCTGATTTCTTTTTCAGATAATTCATTGATAGTGTTCTGGAGGTTTACATCTCTTCTGTTCATGATATAGCACAGACAGTGAGCTTGCTTATTCCTTATTCTAAATTTCACAAAAGGCTTTGCGATTAACCTAGTTGGGTCAAGCCTGGGCATCTCTGAGCCAGATGGGCAGAGGTAGGGAATATATAACACAAAATTGTGGCTGTTTGGGACCTACCCCATGTGGATGAGGTGAACCCCAAAAAGTGACTTGGGAGCTAAGCAGGTACCTTGACATATGTTTGCTTCAATCTCATTAAGTCCACGTAATAAGTTTATTAAGCAGGTGTGAGTTCTTCATGTTACAGGTGAGAAAGGTTAAAAAAAAACCTGTTTAAAGGCACGTATCTAATAAGTGGTAGAGCGAGTATACAAATCCAGTAAGGATGGACACACACACACACACACACACACACACACACACACACAAGCATACACTTTTATTTCATAATTTACTCTGAGTTTCTTGACTTCCTTTCTTTTAAAATTAATCATTTTTCCTGTCACACAAGCACAAAAAGATACAAATATAAATTATATAAAATGATAAAAATACAAAGGATATTAATAAAATATAAATAAATAAATTATCTCATGCAGATATTCATGTAATCACCAAAAACAGAAGCAGAACAATGCTGATATACTGGAAGCACCCATATTCCTATGTCTTTGCCTTATCACTGCCCCCTTAACTACTCCTCAAGTTAATCAGTATCTCTACTTTTATGGAATTTATTTTCAATTTTTTCTGTCCTAGAAACCCCTGATCTGTTTTCTGTCCCTAGTAGTTTTACCTTTTTTTGAATATTGTATAGGTGGAATCATGCATTCTGTAACTTTTTGAGTCTGGCTTTATTTGATATCCACCTATCTTGTCATATCTATTGGTAGTTCTTTTTATTGTAATATTTTTTTTATGGATGTACCATAGTTTGTTTGCCAACTGATGACCAGTTTTTGGTAATTATGAATAAATTTGCTAAATGGTTTGCATGCAAACATAAATTTTTCATTCCATTTGAGTAAATACCTAAGAGTGGAATTGTTTGTGGAAGTGCATGCTTAACTTTATAAGAAATTTCAAAACTATTTTACAAGGTGACTATCATTTTGCATTTCTATAAATAACTGCTCCATATCTTTGCTCTTGGGTCATTTTCTTTTAATTTGAGCTATTCTGGTGGGCATGTGGTGATGAGTCACCTTGATTTCACTCTTCACATATTCCGTGGAGGAGATTTCATGCACTTCATGTGTTTGTTGGTTACTCAGACATTTTTTCTGAAGTGTCTTTGCAAGTCTTTTGCTCAGACCTACATTACTAAATATGAGTTCTTTATATGGTCTGGATACAAGTTTTTTGGTCAGATATATGAATTGCATAATATCCTTTTTTATCTGTGGTTCTCCTTTCATTGTCTTCATGGTGTTTTTTGAAGAAGAGAAGGTTTCGTGTTGCTGAAGTTTGTTTGTCACTTTGTCTTTGCACTTGGTGCCCTTTGTGCAAGGAGTCTTTGCATAACCCAGAGTCACAAAGATTTTCTTCTACATATTGTCTAGTCTAGCTTACGTGTTTAGACATATAATGCATTTTGAATTAATTTTGAGTGTAGTGTAAAGTAG